TTTAAAGACAGTTGAAGCTATTGCAAACATTCTCAATGGCAGTGATACGCAAACTTCTTTTGAATTTAGTCTTGCTGATTTAGGGGCTTTTAAATTTGCTCCTATTACTTCCGTCAACGTGGAAAGATCTTTTAGCCGCTACAAAAACATACTTCGTCCTAATCGACGTCGATTTACCTTTAACAACCTAAAGAAGTACATGATTGTCCATTGCTTTGTTGACGATGAAGATCCTAGCTAATATTTGATTTGAATGTATTTTTTAGGTACATTACATATTTTGTATTCTGAATGTATTTTTTTTTAAGAATAAAAACATTTTTTTTTAAATATTTTGTATTTTTAGTTGCATATTTGGATAAAAATAAATACATATATATGTACATATTTTTTAATTTTTAATACATATTAATCCGCACCCTACTGATTATAATATATATACATTTTATAATTATAATGATGAAATTAATATTATTGGTACTTCTTTCCCTTGAACTCTAACAGTCAGGCAACCCAATGAACACTGTTATGGTTACCGTCTTATCAGTTTGTGGTTGGGCGCTGAGTCTCTGGAGCTAACTTCACAGACGTATGATATTGTAAATGTGCAAACTAATTCTAATAGATTTTCCTCATATTCATCTCTAACTGAATCAAATTCCAAGTATAGAACATATAAACCAATAGAATGGACTGTGCAGGTAATATACTAATAAAATTTTATTCTTTAAGTATGACAAATTATAAAATAATATGTATTACTTTTAGTCTATTATGAGCTTGATGTATTCAACTAATGATTGTCATTATATTTTGACTGATGCAAAAGTAAACCATGAACATTTATCTAATGATGCTCAAAATACACTTACGAGACTTAATAAATTATTTATTTAAAGACAAAGATCGGTAATGTACACTATGTTATTTTAAATATTTATTATAACTTAAATATGTATGTGTGTAAGTTAAAATAGTTAACATGCATGAAAACTTATAGTTCTTATATAAAATAATCATATAGACCTTTAATTTTATATTAATTTAATATTTCTATTTATTAAACTTATGTTATATTAAATTTGTTTTAGGGGAACTGATTTTTAATTTCGGAAAATTTCTTCAACTATCATTTAAATATTTCCAAAAAAACAAGATGTAAGATATAGGTTTAAAACTATTATATTAATTTACATTTTTTTCAAAATATTATCTTAATCCATAAATAATAATGATAAATGCAAATAAATAAATTTTTCAAATACCCATAAAAAATTTGATAATTAAAGCTCTTTTTTTAATTAGAAAAATATTTTATATTTGAATTACCTACCCTTTTAATAACCAATGTATTTTAAATAAAAACAGATTATAATATTTTTAAATTTAACAAATTAGTTCAAAATTAAAAAATGTATGTTTTTAAAATGTAAAAGTTTTTAATACATGTTACCTCAGCATTATTTTATTTACCGATAACTATTTTTTAAATTTGAATTTAATACTATATATAATATATATTAATAAAAAAACAGGATAATACATGCTTTTGAACATAAAAAATTAAAAATGAGTTTTAATATTAATATTTTTATCTTATAGAAAGTATATTATATACTATCAAGTGAAAATAATTCCATGCAAAAGAAAAATTAGTGAAACATTGACTAAATTGTGTACCCCAGTTTCGGAGCATAGGTGCTATTGAAATTAAACAAAAAAATAAAAACTTCTCTGAAACATTACCAATTTTAACATTTTCTGGTAGTAATATTATCAAACATTTATGTTTTATATTCATGCTAATACATCCAATTCATTTATTTATTTAATATAAATATAAAATAGATGAAGCTGAATCAGCAAAAGTTTGGTTAAGCACAATTGGGTTTTTTCTAACTTTGATGAGATTAAAAAACACTGGAAATAAGAATGGCTGAAATTCTAGGTTTAAATAGCATTACTGGTCGTCATTTGTTTGATAATTTTAAATCATGGCCTATTTTATGTAGTCCTAAAGGATATAATCTGCTAAGAAAAAAAATGATAAATATTAGTAATTAATATTATTATCTATGTGTATTTTTTTTATAATATAGTAATCAATGCATGTTTTAATATTAAAATTAAAATTTAGGTAATATTTCTATCAACTCGTCAGCAACTTTTTTTACTTTTTATTTTCAAATATGATACTGGTTAAAACTTTTAAAAAAAACAATATGTTGTGTTTACGTATTATATTATATTTTTGTTTTAGATTTTTTGAAGATTTTTTTATGAAATACTCAGAAGCAAAAAACTATTATCATATTTGGCTAAACTTTATTAAAAAGTGGATTTTCTTACAAAAATTAATTCATAAAATATGTTATTTTACTGGGTATGATTTAATTAACAAAATTACTTTGGTTAATGATTAATAATAACTTTTAGGTTTTGAACTAAAAGAAACCAATAAAAAATCATCAATATTTTTATTTTTTGTTTAATTAAGTAGTGCATGATAAGTGAGTCACTGTAGTTCATCTATTTTAACATGTAAAACTTAAATGTATGGATCTCCAAAATCTATTTTAAATTATTTGTTGTATATTTTAGTTGTTATTACTATTATAATTTTTGATACATATCATATTTAATTTAATTTTTATTTAGATACTAGAACAAGCAACACATTGAAAATTCTACTGATTCCATAACTAGTACTAACTAAAACTCAAATGAAAACAAACAAAAAGTCTGGGAAATCATCACTAGTTGAATGTGTTTCATCTTTTGTTATAAATGTTTCAGTAGCTTATTATAAATATATGAATAGATACACACCTTTAAGTTCATAATTCATTAAGTATTTTAGTTTTATATGAACTTAAACTTGTGTCACATTTATATGTTGTATTGAAATTATTTATATAAATATTCATTTTCAGAATTTAAATGATTCAGAATTCAAAATAATTTACCTGACTTAACTCCAACTATTAAAAAGTTTTGGGTACTGGTAAAATCTATTAGACTCTTAAATATATTTTATAATTGTTATATAGTTGTATATTTAAAAATGTATATCTTATTGTTTATTAATAATATACAGCATGACATTAACTTAATTTTATTGTAATTAATTTGTGAATGTATTTTGTACATACAATTTTAACAAAGTAATGATTCTATTATGTTATGTAATAATCTATATTAAATATCTATATTAAAATATCTTTACTACCCCAATCCAACCTATTATTATTATCTAATAAAGTTTCCTTTTCTAGTTTAACTAAATGGATGTTTCTATATTTGTATTTCTATGTAAAATTTAGTTTATAGATATGTTATAATTTTGGCTTTGACACCATTCAGAATTAAACAACAAAATAAGTATTTGTTAAGTATTGATAATGGTAACATTTTCTGAAATACATATTTGTAAATTTTTGTGGCTTTTGAAGTTAAATATTTTTAATATAGTTTTAATTTTAAATAATATTTTCCATAAGTGATCAATTTTTATTATTAAAAATACCAACTACAAATAAAAAATTTCTTGAAGTTTGTTTTGATAAGGTGTAGAATATTTAGTGTAAGGTATCCACTTAACACCTACTAAGAATGGAGAAAAATATACATTTCTACACAAGATGATGCTCTAAACTGAGTATTCAAAACCATAAGTGAAATTACACACCAAGTCAACAATATATTATGATATAATATACAATGCATAGATAATATCATCTATGTATGATCATTGACAAGTTTTTTTAATAAAAATCATTTAAATAATGAGTATTTGAGTAAAAATGTATACTATAATTTTTTAATTTAAATAAAATGTATTGCTTTAAACAAGATTGAAACTTGTATCACTACTTGATCATATTACTAAAGTTATATATTNCAAGATTGAAACTTGTATCACTACTTGATCATATTACTAAAGTTATATATTTTTTTATTGTTTTTTATTCTTACAATAATCAAATAAATAAAACGTAATAAAAATGGCTTAGAACATTAAAAAAAAATAGTTAAGTGTGTATATATATATATAATTAATATAAAAATATTATCAATATTCAATTTAAATAACTTATTGATGTTTCAAGTGAAATGTGTTTATTTTTAAATAAGGTTGAAATAATGAAAAAAGATAACATGTTAGGTAGGTTCGTGGGATCCGTTTCCTGTAGTATTTCTGAGGTGTACTTAGTTTCGGAAGGATCGGCCCAAATATGAACTAAATCACTAGGAAGGGATTTTGCCCCCTTCTAGTGATAGCGTACTACTTAAGGGACTTAAAACTAAAATTGCCACCGCAAACTCGGTGACTCTACGACCATCAACAACCGAGTAATAAGCTATCCAAATTTCGGGGTTATAATTATTTTGGTGCAACTTGCCTGAGTACCACTAGTCAGTTGCTACTGATCCAATCCGGTTTACACGGTTAATGAGTGCACTCCTTTTTTATTAATTTACTATATGTTTAGTAATGGTATGATTCCTTCACTCGTCAACTCAACTTTTTATCGATATTAAAATAATTTGTACTTCATAAATTAGTTTACGGATATCACACTTCTATCTTGAAATATAGTATTATTTTATATTTAAAATATTCAAAATACTACTGGGTAGCCTAATAAAGTTCGTTTTAAAATTTACGATTACAACTATTATAAGAATAAATTAAATTAATTAATATGTTGTATTCTTAAAACAAAAATGACCCTAATTAACCATTCTAAAACTTTGATTTATTGTTAAACAAAATATCTTATACACAATAAATAATAATACAAAATAATAAAGTATCTTGTTATTCGCATCCATACGATTCGATACTCATATGTACCATTTAAATTTCTTGAATAGTTTATTTTAAAAGTGACAATTTATAACATTAACTCAAGATGTTTTGATTGTTTAATTTCTAAAATTATTAAATAGCTATCCAAGAGGATACAAAATTTTTGAGTATTTTATACCTTGTTCATTAAAAATATACAAAATTTGCAAAAACTGGGTTTGCTAATTTATGATACGACGCTAAGTATATACATTAATAATTAATAATTATACCACATTGTTATTATCTATACATATAAATAAGAGCATTAGTATGCTTGAAATATAGTTATTTCAATAGTATTAATTGTTAAAATGAAAAAATAACAATGAATATTATAATTATGATAACATTTAATTATAATAATTAAATTAGGTACAAATTAAATTTAAATAATTTGTGACATTATATAAATAATTAATTTTTTTATCATTATACTGGATTTTAAGGACTTGTGCAATGAAGTATTAGGCTAAAATAATTATAACTTTTCGAAAAGGCGTTAATAATAAATTTATATATCAAGAGTCTGGCGGCGAAACGGTCAGCGGCGAATAGTCCGGCGGCGAAATGTCCTAGACCCATTTTTTATACCTATGACTAGCGGTATTATATTTTAAGTCGTACCCCTACCTCTAGCACCCACGAGCTACAACTGGCTATCGATATATGTCCCAAGATATTTATTAAAGATATTATTTTTTTGTGTTTCAATACTAAATAATTGCAAAATAAAATTTAGAACTTTGATTGTAGATTATATTCAATAGAACTATATTTTATACTGTTACTTTTTATACTTTTAAATATTTATGTATGTATTTGCCACAAGTCTCCAAGCCTAATTATTAATATAATTTTTTTTTCAGCGATTATAAAGAATAATACAACGAAAATCATTTATAAGTCGTTATTCAATTGTTTAAATATAAAAACAATTCATCATAACTATAATCGTATGGGAGATATACAATGACAAGGTTTAGAATTATTGCTTAATTTTTTGAGAAGATTCTCAATAAAACTAAATTTACAACATCCTTAGTGAATTCAAAGATAAAATCTTGCAGGTGTTTAATTTTTCAATATACTATTTTAGAATTTGACGAGTTACTCTATTGACCAAGAAGTTAAGCATTCATTCAATTGTAAAATACACAAATACAACAATTATGTGAAGAAATTTAATTTATTAGTATGTTGTATTATTAAAAAAAAGTACCCTAATTATAATCGTTTTCACACGTTGATTAATTGTGAAACAAAATATCTGAATGTACTATATTCGCAGTCTAAATAACAACTTTAATAAACTGAAAAAAGTTAATTGAATTGATTATTTGCTAAAATTGAACAATTTAAAAATTAATTGCAACTATAACACCTATAACGGTATCCTTAATACTCCAGAACTCTAGGTACGAAATTCTTATCACACTGCCCTAGTAAGAATTTATGAACGTTTTTCTTAATTTTTTTATTGATATAGTATAGAATTGATATAGTTATTAATTCTTATTAATATGTTTAAAAAGATATAGCCAACAGAATAAATATATTTTAGTTTTAACAAGACTATTAATTTTGAATATTTTATATAAAATACTCGATCTGACCAATCATTTTTTGCACAATAAACAAAAAAACACATTATTATTATGAATCATTTTTTCGATAAAATTACAACTTCAAACATTACAAAAAAAATTTAAACAAATGTGAGTCTGTTTATACACATTTCTTAATGATTTTTCATATTCTGAATGATAATAGCATTAAAATAATTATACTGTATAATAACTCTCTCTAACGCATGTGTTTTAATGAATACAATCAAGTTCAATAAAATTGTAATTTATTTATTATTAAATAAAACTCTTTAGGGATTATTTGAAATTAATACTAATCATTTTAATCATCAATAACAATGAATATTATAATAATTAAATTAAATACATTTTTACAGGACCATTGCAACTAATTATTGCGATTGAACCAATATTTTAAAATGCGTTCATATAAAACTATAAATATAATAAATTAAGCTTGAAAATATTTTCGCATTACAATAAACGTTGTGATTTTTATCTCTTCATAAGTATTTTATAATCATTTGTTATCTTATTTAATTAATTACATTTTTAATGCTAATAATTTTATTTAAATCTGTAAAATCTGTAAAATAAAATTAAAAAAAAAAACGAATAAGCAACATATTAACATTTAGCATATAATATGTAAAGAGACAGCATTATTTAATATTAATTTTAAATATTATCAAATAAAAATTTTTCTAGTTTTTTTACTAGCAAAGTCTGATAAGGTTGTCTATATTAAATGTATAAACCGATATTTGTTCGATTGATCAAATAGCCAAATCAGATATTCGATCTAGTCCTATTGTCGATCTTAAAGAGTTTTTAATAAGTTTTAACTTACTAAATGATCTTTCATACGTCGCCACAGTTATTAGCAAAGTAAAAAATATTTTTATTATAAAGGCTATTTCTACGTTTGGATACACATAAAGAATATTTTGTAATTAATTGAAGTAGGTCTAAAAGTGCTACGACTCTTAAGTCGGATAAAAGTGATTATTCTTTAGACTTAAAATGTTTTATTTCAAAATTAAAATCGGAAACATTTAGATCGATTTTATACTTAAGGATAGGTCAATTGCATATTTTTGTATATAGTCCAATAAATTATCCAACAAGCTACTATCGTACAAAAATTAGAAATCTTCAGCAATTTCATCTATATTTTCTCTTTTGTTAATCAGGAAAATTTGTTTTAATATCGAGATCATTAGCTAACACTTTTCCGCATTCAATTGACTTAAAATACTCGGAAAAAAAACTTACATTATATTTATAGATAGCTATGAGACGGCAATGCAATAACGGTAATATTTTCTATTAATTATATGCCTAGCTAATATATTTTACAACCCGGCATTTCACCGAATTGTTCCTTCGACATCCGTATCGATCAATAAGGATATCAAGTTCAACAAAGTTTTGTAAGTACAAAAATATTATGATAAGTAGTAAACTAAATACAATTTTCGACCAAAAAAAAAGTATCAATAACGCTAAATGACATTAAAGTTGTACGCAAATCATAACAGATAACCTCATTAACACGCTTATATTAGTTTTTTCACATGTATGTTGTATGTTGTTTGTATGTTGTAAGTTTGTAACTCCACGCGGCACGTGTTATTATGTCGCGTATGCCGTCGTCTATGACCTTGAGACTAGACCGTCGTAGCGCATTCACCCCACCCCGCTCACCAGTCGGCGACAACACTATTTTTTTCTGTATAATTTTGAGTAAACGCCGCGGTGCAAAGTCCAGCAAGTGCCGCACGTCCGACGACGTACCGCCGCTAATGATACCGTAGT